GTTGCAAGACTCAGCCTGTAGCTTGAACGAAGAGAAAGGTATTATACCTCCCCTAGCCCTAGCCGACAGCGATGACGAAGTGGCGGCCATCACAAGAACAAAGCGAACAGAGGTTCGTATGTCTGCATGTGTTTTTATCGTCCGGTATGGTGTAAACGCAGCTTAAGTCCTATCCATATATGTATCTATTTATAGGCGCAACCAGGGGTATACTTTAAGTTAGAAAGCAAGCATGATGATTTGACGTCACCAGTGTCTCATTTAGTCAGTCGAACAGAGTCTTTATCTTTGAATGATAAAGCTGACTAATCTGATCGAGAATACATGCCTACTCCCCTTCCAAACCGTAAACTTCAAACCCTGAATCGACACATTACCAGTTTGAGTGAAGGGCGAGTGAGCCCGGTGCGATTTCAAGTAAACCATAAACTAAGCCATAACAGACGTTGCCAGAAGCACTCGTTCTTATATTAAACGAAAGGCCAATGAAGTTGTCACAACAACTCTTGAATGCATAGCGCCCGGACAGTCTGAAGAACTTCTCGGGCTAATAACGGTATCTTCTTCAACAATTGACGACAGACCTGAAAATGATGTCATGAAGACGCTCATTTCACTATACAATGGGGCCACATCACGGCACACCAAACTGACATTGTTGTCAATCTTCGTCAAGCACTACACCAAAACGCAACTCAAGGCAATGGTTCCTGGACTAACAACATGGCGAATCGACGAAGCAAGAAAATACGCAGTCGCTGAAAATTTGTGCGAAGGAAAAAACCCTGTGATTCGTTATCGGTTAGATGAAAAGAAAGTCGATCATTTTATAGATTTCATCAGCAGCCCTTATTATCTTCAGGACGTGGCATACGGAACAAGGAAGCTAAAGTTGTCGAATGGAGAAGTAATCGAAATACCAAACATGGTTCGGACTGTGGTAAATTCAAGAATGGTAAGGCTCTATGAATCATATTGCCAAGAAAAAGGCTTTACACCACTTGGACGATCAACGCTCTTTTCCATTTTAAAGGTATGCATTTAAAATCAAACAAATATTATATCTTTTCAATGAAAGAAATTAAATTATTTCTAAATAAAAAAGACACTAAATGAAAAAAATCATAAGGAACACGTGACACCAAAAATCTGAACTCCAAATAGAAATCGAACGCATGATCCTACSCAGGCTATCTGCGTACTASACGGATAATCTAATTACTAGGCTACAGATTTTTGCGGAGTCCAGGCTTATGGTTAATTTTCATGCAGTGTGTATGTTCATTTATTCGTTTGTACGTTTATTGATCTATCCACCCATCCCTCCCTCCCTCTCTCCCTCCCTCCCTCTCTCCTTCCCTCCCTCCCTACATCCACTCTTTTATCCGTCCGTCCGTCCGACCGTCCGACCGTCCGACCGACCGACCGACCGTTCATTCATTTATTTACATGACGTATAATAATTTGATATCTGATCTCAATGTATTTTTCCATAGGTATGTGCATCGTCTCAAGAGAAAAGTCTTGCAGGACTAGACAACACAGCGACTGAAGGAGCGTCAGCTTTTGACACCATGGAAATGATCATACATACCATGGCATCCCTCGGTAAACATCTATTTTACAACAAATGTGATGAATTATCTTACGACCCTCTTTTCTGACTCTTAAGTGGCTTATTTAAGATCTTCTTACCCCTTTTCTTATGTGTACAGGTTTATCTGTTGATCATGCCAACAACTTCATACAAAGGATTCAAACAGCTAAGAGATATCTGAAAGCTGATTACAAACTCCATGTAATCGAGGAAAATCCCTGTGCTGATCATTGTATACGATTTGCACTGTCTTCAAATGAAAATCAGTATAAGTCAGATTGTAAACATGATCATGATATGTTATGTAATCGGCGTCAGGACTGCACAGACGTCTGTGAAGATATATTTTCCGAGAGCTCGACTCAAAGGCTATTTCATACAGGTATAGTCAAAGCTTTATATAACGAGCGCCTGTGTCTACGAACAAAGTTTTGCATCGTTTTCAGTGTTACATTTAGGGTGTGTTCAATTTGCTTCATCACAATATGTTTCGATGATAAACAGAGTACCATAAATATTTTATTATTTCATTTTTAATCAGCACTCGATCTTTAAGTTATAATTTCTTCCCTCTTCCCTTTAAGTGATAGACCCTTTGCAGTTAGAGGTCTTGTGACCTCACCTACCTAAAAACAAATCAAAGATGAGAATATGTAGACCGCATGGCACTAATGAAATACATGAAGATATAGAAATATAGATAAGTTATAGTGCTTGGAAACGAGGTTATTCCGGGCGAAAGACCCTTGGAATTAAATTCGGAAAAATTGTCGTCTAATTGTCGTCTAACTAAACTCGACCTGTCCTTTCCATTTCTGGGCATCAGTTTGGCACTGCTGATTGATTTAAGGTAGGTGAGGTCACTTGAACTCTAGCTGCAAAGGAACTATTGTAACGATATTCATACAGAATAGCCGGACTTATCTACAGGTGCTTCAAATAGCTATTTTAACCTTATTATTCCTATTTATCCAGAGCAACAAGAAGAGCTAAAACATGATGCCGAAAAAGCAGCAGAGAAAATCCTAGATTAGAAATCACACATTGTCAGGGCTATCAACCAAGAAAGGGCCAAAAGAGAAGTTCTTGACAACCTTACTTACGAACAGACTTTGATCATAATGGATTGGGCAATGAAATGGCTCCCTCGAAAGTACCGTAAAACCCAGAACGAGTGGTTTGGGAAAAAGGGAATTAGTTGGCACGTTTCGGCCTGTATAGCAAAAGCAACTAGTAACAGAGAAAACGACTTCGAGGTACTTTATTTGTCTTTTAGTAAGAATGTAATGAATTGCGTTGCTATCATAATGCTGCCTTAATCACATGTATTCATACCATTGCTAAGAAACAAGGGCTGATTCTGAAGAACTACAGTTTCAGTGAGGCAAATAGTGGTAAAGACGTCTGCGACAGAAATATTGCACCACTTAAGSCACATATTAACAGATATTTGAATGAAGGTAACGCAACTTTATTCTTTTTTTTTTTTCAACGTAAATCTATTGCAGGGAATATGGCTGGTGATATTACTTTACTTTAATTAATGCATAACTATTTTTACCTACTAGGTCATGATATCACTTCTGCTGAACATCTGAAAGAAGCTATTGATTCCTATGGAGGGTTGAAAGGATGCCAAGCTGCTATAATTGAGCTAGATACAAAGATACAAAGTGCCACGAAACCTTTTAAATTAAAAGGCATTAGCAAGCTTAAACAATTCGAATATAACATTGATGGAGAAATGACGGTATGGCAGGCGTGGAATATCGGAAAGGGTATGAAAATATCGAAGACTGGCCGTCCTCAAGGTGAGACGGGCGTAATCGTAACGCGGCCATTTCTTGAACCAAAAGTGACGTCTGGCATTTTAAAGAAAACTATAGTGGAACCTTCTTCATGTCCAGCTGCAAA